ATCATAACTAACATTAACACAGACACGTGTTTATAGTAAAACCATATTTGACCGATACTACAACATGTGACAACACATTTATATTCTAATTTGCCAAGCGCAAACGAATATAAAGTAGTGTTGTCAAATTGAACAGTTTTGCCTAACCGATTATTCGGATAATCTTTCGACCGATTAACCGGTTAACCGGTAGTTAATTTGATGTTTATAGGCCTTATCTACAGTACTCTACAAATGCTGGTTTTATGATACGATACATTAAAGTTTTTCGAGCATTCCTGGTGAGTTTTACTTTAAATAATCCAATACTACCATATCTACTACGGCGTTTGTTATAACTGCAGATTGAGGAGTTGAAAATCTTCTTGATCTTTTCGAATTGGCATTGTCTTAAACCTTTGATTATTTCATTTTCTCTGGTGTCTCCAAAATTCTGTGGACTGTTTCAATTTGAGATGAATAACGTTTAACCCGTACCACCCAGTATACATTAATTCCCTTTACATGTTTTGTAGTTTTTTTGTTTTTTTGAGTCGACATTTTGTTTAAAGTATGACTTGGACGATGGAGGTAGCATATTTACATGTAGGTCTACGCAATATTAATTAAAAAATTAAAATAATGAAGTATATCGTAAATTCAAACGGCGAACAAATATAAAAAATAATCGTATGCTAATTATCTTTACTTTAGATCTTGCCCCAAGCTGATAGACAAGTTGTCCTTGTGCTTACTAATTTTGAAAAAATTGTTATGTTTTCAAGTTGAACAATTAAAGCAATCAATATTCTGGATAATTGATCTGTCAAATTAAGCACCCCGACGATCATTTTAAAATTCAACAGAAATTACTAATGATTTCAATACACGTTTATATCTGATCTATTAAAATTGAAAAAGGTCCGGTTAACCGGTTAACGTTTTTGGTATTCGATATTCGGTCCTTCCGACGGTCAACAGATTAACCGGTTGGTTAACCGTTGACAACACTAATATAAAGTATTTGACAAATAAAGCATCACACGAATAGGATAAGTGTGATTTTTTACTTATAAATAAACATTTTATACCACTTTTGTTAAATATTGTGTTCAATAATCGTATATTTTACAATGTTGTTTTCCTGTCATTTTGGGTATTTCGAAGATTTCACTGAAATAGTACAAATTGTAAAAGAGAGGAGAAAGATACATAAAGTACATTCAAACTCATCAGTCGAAAATAAACAGATAACGCCATGGCAAAAAAAGGAGAAAAAGACCAAAAAACAAACAACAGTACACTAATCACAACATATAAAACTTAAGACTGAGCAACACGAACCCCATACAAACCGGGGCTGATCTCAGGTGCTCCCGGAGGAGTAAGCAGGTCCTGCTCACATGTGGCACCCGTCGTGTTGCTCATGAAAGTTTAAACCTGATGATTAGTCTAATTCGCTGGGTCATATTCGAGAAAAAGTGGACGGAGTTGTGGGTACGACAATTGGAACATATCTGTCGTCATCTTCGAAACAGATATTCCGTAACTGTCAACCAACTCGTGATGGCGTCCATAAATTTTCTTCCAGATTACCAAAATCTATCTCTATATTTACTGTCATGTGGAGAGCAATACAGATTGTATGATACCTCTGCAGGTGGACTATCAGTCCCGTAGGGTACCATCAGCCCAGTAGTCATTAATTCGGTACTGACATGATTTATAACAAACCTTTCTAAAATTGTCCGTTTAATATAAAGAAACTTAGGTTTAAACTCACTCAGGAAAAGTTGACCTTAGATGGATTTGGCTATTTTCTTCGTCCTTTTCGATGTTGCTCTTTAATTGTTTTGGTTTTTATACATGCTTGGCTTTAAAATATTCAACTTTGAGCGTTCCAGATGAAGGTAAGTCCAGAAAAGTGCTTTGGACGAATGCAATTTATAACTTGTTGTTTTCATTTTTTATTGTCCTATTGACAGCAAAGGAGATTGAATGTGTCCCTTGTTAAATATGAAATATAGTCAGAAATCAGCCAAAAATAATTATAAAGACGGTGTCAGAAAAGAATATGGTTGAACCACAGGGACTTGGTCAGCGGATCAAAAATTTTTCAATAAAACAAAAGTCCAATATAGATCTGGTATAGATTCTCCTGTAGAGGGCTGACTGGCGTCTTCAATGAAAAGTAATCAGGATGTGCCAAATTAATATGTTCCAGACTACTTACAAAATCTATATATATATTTACTGTTCTATGGAGAGCAAAACAGATTGAATGTGCCCCTTGTTAATTATAAAATATATACAGTAATCAGTACAAATAGATATAAAGACGGTGTCAGAAAAAGAGTATGATTATTGTTCACACCACAGGGACTCGGTTAGCTGATTGTTTTTTTTCATTTAATAAACGTATATGGATACGAAATTTAAAAAATAAAATTGATTAAAAAACTTTAATCTGCTAAACGAGTCTATTTGATCAAAGTGGTATCAAAATTATATCGTCACGACTGATGAACTTACAAAATACTATTAAATGCATTGTTTATAAAAAAAATCGTTTAAATTATTAATAAATAAAGGCAACAGTAGTATACCGGTGTTCAAAAGTCATAAATCGAATGAGAGAAAACAAATCCGGGTTATAAACCAAAACCGAGGGAAACACATCAACTATAAGAGGAAAACAAATGAACAACAGGAACACCGAAGTGTAACAAAAACAACACACATAGAAACGAACTATTTGAAAACAACTGCCATATTCCTGACTTGGTACTGGACATAAAACAGTTCTTTGTTATATTTTTCGCTTTGAAATATAATGACGATACATATTTAACAATAGTCAGTTTTTGGTAAAAATCATCACGAAAGGGCAATAACTCTTTAAAGAGTTAACCGACAATTTCAGTCATGTTGACATATTTGTAGATCTTGTCCTGCTGATCATTTTTGCTTTTAAAGTTTCTATCTAAATTTGTATCTATTATACTTTTCAAGATAATAGGCAAAAACTCCAATAAATGGTAAAGCATCTTAGGAAGTAACTCCAATAACAAGTCGAGTTAAGATTTCTGCCATGATGGCTTATTAGTAGATCTTGTCTACCTGATCATTTTTGCTATATAAAGTTTCTATCCATCTTTTATAGTTTTCAAATAAAAAACAAAAATGCAAAAAATCGTCATTAAAAGGCAATAACTTCAATAAGGAGTCAATTTACGATTTCGAGCATGTTTGACTTATTTGTAGATCTTGACTTGTTGATCATTTTGGCTTTTGAAGTTTCTTTCTATCTATTATACTTTTTAAGATACAAGACAAAAACGCAAAAAATTGGTAAAAATCGTCATTGTTTAAGCTCTGACATGTTTTGTTTATGTGTATTTGGCTGCAAAAACGTTTCATTTGTAAGTGGTCCAATCATTTATTTTCTTGTAGTATTTTGTGAATTGTGTTTTTTCGTCGTTTTTCTCTTTGGAGAAAATAAAAATAGGCCAAATAAAGTACGAATTTGAAGAGCATTGAGGACTCAAAATTCCATAAAAGGTTTTGCCAAATACAGCTAAGGTGTTCTGTTCCTAAGGTGAAAATCCATAGTACTACGAATAATTCAAAATTTTGTTGAAGTTTGTAAAATGAATCCAAAAGTCGCTTATTTGAATAATTTAATGGACCGACTCAACTCACGACTGAAAATCGATATAGTAATAGATTAAATATTATGCTATCATTTTTACCCTAGATTTTTTTTAAAATCGCGATGAAATGTGACTTTCCGATTTTTTTGTTTTTCATTATGGGGCACGGTTATAATTAATTCCCGAATGATAATTTCACCAATATGTTGATATAAAAAGAAACAACGATGTGTAAGGCATTATTCAACATCGAAAATAAACTTATACGATAGTACATATTGAATCAATTGGACGATTTTCGAATGCATGTAGCATTTTAATCAATTTTACCGTCTGCCAAAGTGTATTAAATTTCTATCATATTGCATGCGTAGTCGATTTTGTCAAAAAATAATAGAACAACTTATGCTCTAAAGGTTTTATATACAACAGGTTGACAGAACATACACATTTTACTTTTACGAGCTTTTTAGAAGTAATCATCATATCTCAGTTAAACTGTTCTTTTCCTATCTTAATATTTTTTTCATATTTTCCCCGACTCATGATTTGCATTTGTTGTCGACAAAGAATTAAAATGTGCAATGTCTTGATTTTTGTAAATTAGAATATAATGTGTTTTGCTTGGTTAGTATATGGCAATTGTGTTATTTGGAAAATGATTTCAAGAACTCGCAAGTTTTACATTACATTACATTACTAGATCAGGCCAAACTATTCTTAACTGGATGTTTCTTTTAAACTCCAAGACAGAAGCAACTCAGTCCCTGGACTGTCAGTGACTGTACTCAGTTATACACAGGAAGAGGTAGACACAATACATATTCGGCAGTCTCTGTTTGCAAATGAATTAATATTTTTGTAATAACTTCGTAATTACTTGTGTTTCATTACGTTTTGTATTTTTTCATATGTCAACATCGTGGTTCCAGAAAAGTTTTTCAGTAGGTACACGACGGTTTATACCCGTGTTCATTATCTAAGCAATGCTATTTGGTTTAGTATTGACAAAAAGGACGGTTTATTAGGCATTGAAACAAAACCCATACAGGTATGAAAATTTTACCACTTTTGTTAAATAATGTTTCATATAGAAATTAAGTTAAACAAATGAAAATGACATAAACACACTTGAAAATGAACATTGAATTAATCCTTCCTTAAATAATGTTTATTTACATAACTCTCTTTTTAAAACACCAGCCTGAATATGCATTAAATAATTGCCAGTGGATGTTAAACAAGCAACCATTTAGCATTGCTTATATGCAAAACCAGAAACGATAACAGATGACCTTAATTATAACTGTTTCCTTTAAAACTTCCTTTACTTGAAATGGAGCTGATTTAATTTGGTATTTCCGGTTTCTAAAAATAAACAATATAGATCGTAGTATGAATAGCAGTAGGTGAGTAATTTTAATCATTATTAGTAAATACCGCATAAAGTAATGTAACAATCATATTCTTTTCTGACACCGTCTTTATGGTTTTCTGGGCCGATTCCTGTAAAAAAAATATTTAAAAGGGACACAATCAATCTTTTTTTGCACTCTATAGGACTGTAAATATGTATAAACACCCTCAGTGTCCGTGTCAGCAAAGTGGTATCGAGTTTATATCGTCACGACAGATGATCTAAGGCATACTTTAAAATGCATTGTTATTAAAAAAATGTTAAAATGATAATTATTAAACAAGTTCTTCATTATATTTTTCATTTGAGGATGATAATTATTTCAATGGTTTTATTAAGATATTATTGTTTATTATTATTTATCGCCAATTTGTACTGAAAATCAGGACTATATTGAGCTCAAGATTAGGTCATTTTCTAGATTTACCATTGCGGTGGCAAAACACATGTGACAATGACTGATGAAGTGAGCTTGCCTTTTTATATAAACATTATACATAGAGATTCCTCAAATATTTTTTGCAAAGGTTCTAAATTACACATAGAGTGTCACTGTCCTGTTTACTTTACATTTTACAGACCAGTGAACGTCAACTTATTTGGTCTTTGTTAGATATTTGTTGTTTACATGCACTGCAATCACACCACATATCCTTTTGTTTAATAATGCAAACTTAATAACTTTTTTAATCTATCATAAGCACGATATCTAGTTAACAATAGACCTTTTCAACAACTCTCGACACCGACTAATGACACATACAGTTTACAGGTAAAATTAAGGGGTCGTCTCAAAATTAAACGTCATTCATGAATTGTATTGCGTTTGCACCTTCGATTTGTCGATTTTACACTAAAGACTAAAGAACATATTTCAAACAAATATGAATTATAAGGATCTCTTGTGTATAACAGTCTAATTACATATATTTATACGACATTTTACGTTGAATTTTTGAACGTTCAAGTAAATAATTACTGCAATCATGTCACATCGTAATCTGCCTTTTTCCTCTTAAATTTTATGATTATGTGAGAATTTAGATAAGCGAGTCTATCAATGCAGATTGTTCCACATGCCAATAACGATTTTTTCGTTTTTGTAATGCTATTTGGGAAATTTTCGGAAGGATCATTGTAAATGGACTGTCCGTTCGCTCGCTAGATTTTGTGTTTCTCAACCGATCTCCATGTCACTTGTTGTACACATCAAATTTTAGGAGGGGTAAAAGTCTATTGGTTTAAAGGTCAAAGGAAAAGGCAACATCGATAATTTAGTAACGAGGGACTACTCCGCTTCAAGATACCATGTTAAAGTTGAGGTGTTTCCTTAATGAACTTGAAACATTAACGGCACCATTTTTCAGCGCCACATGTGCATTTTGACGATTAATGTCTCTTTGGTGATGCGTATGGTATATTTATCTCAACAGAGCTTGTTGTCATTGCAGTGTCTTTTTGGACAGTGCTGAACTGATTGACCGTTATATGTTGCCCGTCTCCCGAAAGACAACATATCTTGTCCCTTTGTCTTAGATTCCTTTCCCTGTTCCCGAAACATGTCATTCGTGTGTCTTGCAAGAAGCAAGAACTGCTTACACTTCCCCTTTTCAGGTCATAGCTTTGGTTTTCTACTCTTTTCTATTTTTTCCATGCATAATGGTTTTCAAAATTTCATCTCTGACCATAACATAGGGAAGGTTTTAGATCCAATTATACTAGTAAAACCCCGCCGCATGTTATACGAGCCTGAAACATTTCCTGAACAAGTTGGTCATTGCAATTGGTAAGATTTTGTCACAATAGAATTTTTAGTTTACAATTTGATATTTTGACATTATGCTTCGCTCTAATATTTCTTTCCTTTTTATCAGAAAAAATAAAGTAACGTTGTTTCCTTTTTCTTTCCTGTTTTAGGATTAGGGATAGGGGTCTTTATTCAGAATGCAGTCCATGCGTTACCTCTGGATGTCTGTTTTATATGTTGCATTGTGTGATTTTTTTCCTACTGCGGAAGTCATAAAAATAGCAAGAGAACGAAAAAAAAATAAAAAATTACGATTTGAATCTGAATCTGAAATAGAAGAGACATCAAGGGCCTTTAAAAATCTTGGTATCTATTTTATTATGAACGTATTGTACTCCAGGTGATTCTCGCGAATGAGATTCATTTATGGGCGCTATTTTGCGGTATGTTTGTTTTGATCGTACAACATTAGGGCGAGGCATTTCATCAGCTTCCTCCTCTCTTTCTGGTAAGCTACGGCGTTTGGTTGCCAGGAAGCAGGTCCAGCGACGGCACAATAATCCGGATGATTTAAAGAGAAAGAGTCGAAATTTAAATTGCATTGTAGCTGAATATCGATTTCCAGTTGAACATTAAATTGGTAAACTAAAACTAAATAAAGTAATGAGTATATTGAGTCATCCGAATCCAATTTAACGGACATTGTAAAAAGATGTACCGCCCTAGTCAACAGATATAAACATTGATTAATTAAACATCTACTACAAAAATACAAGTTTGTTTTCTTTTTTTTTCATTTTCCATCTCGACGTCTAAAAGTAATGAAACATTGAATTCCTTCCTTTTCTTCGTAGTCAATTCACAAATAAGTTAAATTTGATAAGCAAATACTTAATAAACAAAAAAGGTACGGTACACACAAAAACGTCATGTTGAATAGTTGTCTCGTTGGCAATCAAGATAATCATATGCGATCAATAATATTTTTTTTTAATTTTATTTTTGAGACGACCCCTCATATCTCACCTGTCGTAGTCGTTCTCAACTGTAGGTGTAGACAATTGTTGAAAAGGTCTAATAGTACTACAAAAGGCAAATAGGTTAAGAAAACAAAAATAGATAGCTAACTGCGCAGATTGATAAATATTAAAATCGTTTAAAGGTCCCGTCCCAAGGTAAACATTATAATGATTTTATCGAGGGAAATATAAAATACACTTAAAAGTGAAGTGATTGTTGGTTCCTAAACGTCAAGTGGTAAAAGTGACGTGCAAAGTAGTTTTGTGTCAATATACTAAAACAGTATATTATACTCATTACAGTTCTACACAATGTATTATCTTTTAATTTTGGATTCTTTGTTTTAGTTTTTTTACTTTACAAACAAACTGTATTCGGTTGATAAAAGTGGGGATTTTTAATGATCATGAGTTATTGATTTTTACTTCGTAAGCTATTTTTCTTACTTACAAACAATTTATTCGAAATTAATTAGCTAAACATGTTAACTTTAAGGTATCTTTATTGGTTCCATTATTTTGCTGTTCTGTCCATGCAATTTTGATATTGATGCCTTGATGTTTTATTGATATGTTTTTGGCTGCAAAAAGTTCCATGTTTAAGTGGCTCAATTTTTATTTTCTTTGTAGTATTTTATGAATTGCTGTTTGACTTTTCGTCGATTTTCCTTTTGGTCATAATTTTCTTCGACTTGTGATTTTTGATGTCCTGCCACTTTGTATCTTCACCCTTTTGTTGGTCTCGAACTATGCGGCAAGGTATCAGAGAAGGGGTCATTGGAAACAAAGTGATGTATTTGACTGTTAATTACAATCTCTAACGTAACAGAATGTAATATGTAAAAGGTCAATTTTTTAATGACATGTAATTGCAATTTAATGAATTACAGTCAGGAAAAGGGTGTGAAATTACAATTACATTTCAACTACATTCAGCTACATCTATGATTGTTTCGAGTATTAACGAAAAAAACAATGTAAACATAGTCTTATAATGTTTATTAAGATAAGCACACACGTATTTTTCTAATTGTAAGACAATACATGAAACTACCCTGAATAATATGGATATAGCAATATCTAGACATATTGAAATAGGACAAATATTATGTATTTCTGAAATATCATTAGATTTGGAAATGGTTGCTATTCTATTTTTGTCTTTTATATTTTGCAAACAAAAAAATTACTCTCAACGGACAAGTCTTCGTTGTTATCTTCATTCAAAGCGATCAACGAACTCTGGCTCGATAAATCAATTACATGCTTTGTGTTTATCAAAACATGTCTAACTCTGTTATCTAATGTGCAAAGTTAAACCGTAACAAAATGATTCATTAATGATTTTTTTTTGAACTATAGGTAAAACGTAAACAAAACAATCAGCTTGTTAAAATGGAAGACGACGAAAAATCTACGAATACTTCAGACGAAGAAGGTGAAAACGGTGATGCTATCTCTTCCAACAAAGTAGGATCAATGTCATTAACGAAGGATAAAACATGTGCCAACTCTAAACCATGCATAGAAAATATTCAAATTACTGGAAGTTTAAGAAATTATATGGTATCTACTGAGACATTACATTTAGATACTGAGAAGTCACCAATTAATATATCAAGAGTGAACAGCATGGAAATGTTTATGTCCTCACCGACGAGCAATGATGGTAAATACTTCAGGTTATCTATGATTCTACACGAAAAATTAAAAAAAAGTCAACTGAATCCAATATTATCATATTTGTTTATGTTTATTATCTGTATGATTACACATCTGAACACGATTTGATTTGAGTGTGACTATTAAATTGCGAGGTCGATAGATGACATATCAATTTCATTATTCTAAATAATATTTTATCTTACTAAAAGCTTCAAATAATTACCAAATATCTCATTCTTCAACACATGTTTATCTAAACTGGCCCATAGGGCCATGATGATCTTTTGCCATCACTAGGCGTCCGTCGTCGTCCGTCCGTTGTCGTCGTAAAATGTTTCGATGATCTTCTTCTCTTAAACTACTCAACCAAATTCCATCAAACTTGGAGCGAATGATATTTTGTGTATCTAGTAAATTTTTTTTTCGGTTAGACGACAAACATGGCCGCTATGGCTAAAAACAGAATATATGGGTTAAGCACACTAATTGTCTTGTATCTTGAAAATTATAATAGATGGAGAAATGTAAAGATCCATTTTTTCTATTGTCACCATGATTATCACATGCATTCTAAAGGAGTTATTGCCGTTAAATGACGATTTTGACAAATTGTACCTGTTTTGCCACCTTGAAAATTACAAAAGATAGATTAATAATATTGATGGAAAAATGATCAGCAATACAAGACCTACTAAAATGCTGATATTACCGAAATGTTTGGATGACTCTTGAAGGAGTGATAGTGTTTCATGTCGAGTTTTGACCATTTTTTAAAGTTTGTTTGCCAATTATCTCAAGTACTATAACAGATATACAATAACTGTAAACAGGAAAAATTATCAGCAATATAGGATCAACAAACAAGCCAATACAAGTGACCGAAACCATTGGTTGACTTCTAAAAAGATTTATGGTCCTTAAATGAAAATTTATGAGAAATTTTCGTGTTTTTGCCTCTTATCTTAAAAACTATAAAATATACTAGAAAAAAATGTAAACGTCAAAAATTAATACAATACAAATGAAGCCTATATGACCGAAACCATTGTATAAGTCTTTATAGGAGTTATTGCCCTTAAAACAAATGTTTGACTATTTTCTATGATTATGTCAAAATCGACTTCCAATCATCCTAATATCTTGAAAACTATAATAGATTTGTAGTAACTCTAAAAGCAAAAAAATGATCAGCTATATCAGAGCTATAAAAAGGCCAAATGGGATTGGATGACTCCTTAAAAGTTATTGCCCTTAGATGACGATTTTTGACTAATGTTTCTGTTTTATAATTTATCTCAAAAACTATAATAGGAAGGTAAAAACATTATCAGCAATACTAGATGTACGCAAATAACATAAATAAACTCATCATAGATACCAGGATTAAAAATAAATATCCAAATGTCATATCGTTCTCTAGTTATAATTCAAAAGGACAAATAAGTAACATAGAAACCGCGTATGTTCAACATCATATAAGAATTTTGAAATGATTTGATTGGTCGATTGTTGTTTATTGAAGGTTTAGTAGCAAAATATACAATTTTAAACACACTTTTAGGCTTCACTTAATCTTGCATTTCTAACCATATTTCCCATGTTTCCCGTTCTCAACCCATTTTATGGTACTAGTTTAGTAATAATGTAGAAATATTACTCAAAACAAGTATAGTAAGACATCTTTTGAATTTCATTACCATAAAGCCGTTTAACAAAGCAAGTAAAGCAATATAATTATAAAGAATGTATTTCCTCAAGTATACTTGAAGGTAGATTTTCCAAATGTATTTTGCTGTGGTTAACTAGGGTTCACCACATACATTAAAAGTTTGGCTTTTGACGATCAATATTCTGTATTACGACTCCTCGCTTTGACACACAATTGATCACGTTTTCTCATGCTGCTATACATCTACGAATTGATGTAGAATGTTTTGCCATTCCGCCATCAGACTATTGGTTACTTCTTGTAAAGTATGTGGTGGTTCTTTGCGGTATGTACTACGGCTTAATCCATTCTGCCCTCAGACTATTGGTTACTTCTTGTAGAGTATGTGGTGGTTCTTTGTGGTATGTACTACGGCTAATTCATCCGATAGAATAATGTTCTATTTGGTTAAGATCTGTAGAATGTTCCACCTCTTTTGTTATTATTCGATTTAATATAGTCTTTCACGACCTTCTTATGTAGAATCGGTATATTTAGACTATTTAGAAATAAAATGTCGTTTAAGTATCTGCAGGTACTATTAAACATATCTATCAAATGGTGATTTGAGGATCTTCAAGAAAGGTTGCCAAACGATAAGATTAATTAAAGTAACAAGACACGTCAACAATAGCTGAAATACGTAGAAAATTTCATACATGGCCATTATGTGCAAGAAACATAAACAATTATTTGGTAAAGAGGTAGTTGATGAGCCATGGATATGATCACGCATTACGCATCACACGGCATAACATGCTAACGGTAAATGGTCTTTAAGGCCTTTAGTTTCAAATAATAAACCAAGATAAATTGATATTTTTATTTATTGTAGCCCAAAATTCAATTCTTAATTTTAATAAATTTAAATATTTTGTCATTTGCCGTTGTTCTGTTTTAGGTGTATCTATTGGAAAAGCTGATTGTGTACAAATAAACCTTAACCCTGAAGCAGGAAGAGGCGACAGAAGTTAGTAAAAAACACCTTATTAGTTTAAAGACAATATTTTACAGGCAGCAACAGTAGGTTGATGGGCCTTCTTGAACTTTGAGCGTCTGAGGGTTTTGCTCAGTGTTGAAGGCCACACTGTATCTTTCCGATAAGAATATTATCGGCAATTTGTACATTTTCCTACTGTTTAATATTTTTTAGATCATGGACAGAACCTGCTACTCGAAAATTTTAGGAAATGACGTTACATATCAGTGCTGCAAATTCTCGTGTTCATGTCCATGTATCTATGAAATGCACGCGGCTTCATTTATACAACGGAACAACTATCATGACGTTTTGTACGCGTAAAAATAGTTTTACTTAAAATTCCATTTTATTTTATATTTTCAACTCACAAAAAAATTATTAAGACAAATTGCCGATAAAAAGAATAAAATCATATTTTTTTTTGATACTGACTTCATCAGCTCGAAAATCAGCTCGTCCTAGCCGGGTCGCTTGATATTCTTCCTAATGAAATCAGTATTATCAAAAACAAAAATGCCATTATTCTATATGTAATAGAAGCGGAGTTTCTTTGCTTTTTGAATTTTGTCGGATGCATATTGTGATTTTGTTTCATAAAAAAATCCTTTATTTGCAATTGCATTGTGTTATTTTGTGGAAAACTGACAGCTATATTTATATAAATTAACTTATTTTGTGAGTTTTTAAATTTTCTGAAAGTAAGGTTGGAAGGGATATATATCAGATTACAAGGCTGATATCTATTTTAGAATAAGACATTTTGTACTTGTACTATCTTAAAAAAGAATGCATTTTGTATTTTGCAATTGTGAAATTTGTAAAATGAATATCAGTCCAGGAAAAAACTCACTATGATATATGAGTTAAATTCGAAACAAAACCCAAAACAATTGAAACCGTAACTTGAAATTTCATATCAAAATAATTCTTTTGGTATTATTTTTTGTTTGGTTGCCGTCTTGTTTACGTACATCCCACGCATTCTATTCAGACTACAGTAACTATATGAAATTACAAGTAATTAACTTATTGATGTGGAAACCACGCCTTTGTAGTCTCTAAATGGCTTCTGGACTTCTAATTAGACTTGAGACAAAACAACGTCATAAACAGTGCAACAGAACACAATCTTGCATCAATGGCAAGAGTAAATTAATACAGAATTTCAATATAGTAAAACATAAAATTTTAATTAAAGTGATAATTTAATCTGGTTCTATATAAATCAAATGAATGTTTCATCCCTACCCCCGATTTATCAATATGTCTATAAAAATATAAAAACAAATAATTCCAAAAGTATTTTGCATATTACATTATAATACCTTTAAGGTGCTTGGCGAAATTTTTGGGTTTGTGAGGGATTACATACCACATGTAACAGTTGTTAAAAGTTTACATTGTCTCCCTACATAAAGTCTAAGATCAATGTAAAGCGTTCACTTGTTTTGTTATTAAAATTCTATTACATGCTTTATATTTTTTTAGATGACTGGTCATCAAATATTTATCAAGCAATTAATAAACCGATGCATGAGATGTTTGTTAAAACACAACATTATAATGAGGCGAGAGAAAAGTTAAAGACGAATAGAATAGTAGTTATTTCTGGATCCATAGGAACAGGAAAAACATTTCTAGCACGAAAACTTATCTCTGAAAAAATAGAAGAAGGATATCAATTAAAGTCTGTCGAATCACTCTTCAAATGGCGTACTTACGGGAAACAGATTGTCTTACTAGATGATGTATTTTCAAAACCATGTAATTTCAGTAGGAAGTCTTTAGAACTGAAATCCTTATTGAAAACGATACAATTATACCTTGAACCAGATGACGAGACAGGTAAAACGGTTCTCCTCATCATTACAATTCGGCCTGATGTTCTTGCAGTGTTGAAAGAAGACAAAAGTCTAGATATATTGCAAAAAGTGGAATATCAAGTAGATTTGATGCAACCAATTCCATTTAAAGAAAAATTAGAAATTCTTAGGACACATGAGAAAAAATATTCCAAATCTGAAAGGATCGATGAGGACTGTGCAATTGATATTTGCAATGTTAAATGTCCTTGTTTTCCTATTTGCGTAAAATTGTTCTTCCAACAAGATGACTTGTTTCAAAATGGAATCCGCTTTTTCGAAAATCCGGTGCGAATTATACAATCAGAGATTAGCCAAATGTATAAAGATGATCGGGAAGTGTTTGCCTTTCTGATCATGTTAATATTGAATGAAGGAGAAATAAACGAATCGTGTCTCGGAACTGATGCTTGTATTGCACATATAGATCCATTGTTAGGGCTTTTGCGATGCAGAAAAACTGAACTTGTCCAGATAATGAACGAATGTTTAGACAGAATTCCAGATCTATATGTCACCAGGGAGAATAATAAAATCAAAATTCAACACGATTGCATATTTCAAGCAATATGTGTATCATTTTCCAAAATATTACCAATGCCTTGATTGAAATATTTGCCATTTGAATTCATCACTGAACGGATACGAGTCGAGACAGACCAACCTGAAGAAGAACATATAATAATTCCTTCTTGGTTTTATGCTTCCCTAGCTGACAGATTTTTGGACGAAATTGAGCTTGGGTGTATTCGACATGTTTGTGGACATCAGGCTATGTTTTCTCCTATTTTCCTCGCAATATTTTCTGATTGTCTTCAAAAGCTTAAGGAAACAGACAAAAAGAAATATTTCCGAATTTTACAATCAACAGAACAAGAAAAGGACCATGGATGTCTATGGAATGGTTGCCTACTCTACTGGGCTGCTGCAATAGGTAATAAGCAGTTGTGTTCAAAATTGCTTCTTAAATATTTCTATCAAACAGTGAAAGAAGTGGATTCATTATTTGTGAAAGTACAAGCATCAGCTACTTTTGTGCTTGCATCATTTTTTAGGTACAAACAAATACTGTTGCAACGTTTGAACGACTTAGGCGGCGATATAAATAGTTCGGTACATGTCGAAAGAAAAATGCAGACTTACGGCTGTGATTACTGTATAACACAAGATACACACGGTATGACTGTTCTTCAAGCCTCAATATTTGGCGAGCTTGCAGTAAATAAGGACACTTTTCGATTCCTTCTTGATAACAAGGCTCATTTTCGGGAAGATATCACTGCGTATAGAACTCTAAGCAAAGCAGTTCAAATGGAAGACGAGACACTAGTTAGACTCCTCATCAACTACTAGGCCGATGTCAACTCGATAGATTTGAATGGCAACACTGCACTTTTTTATGCTGTAAGAACAGATAATCTAACCATTGCGCAAATACTTCTAGATGTCAAATATAAGAACAGTAATTCATACAATTTAATGAATGATGTTAAAAGCGTTCAAATGGCTTGCTTGCTTTTGGAAAGCCATGATATAAGCACTCCTGACAAAGCTGGGAAGATTCCACTGCATTATGCATTTAATGAAGAATTAGTCAATTTCCTTATTAGAAAAGGGTCACCAGTTGACAAAAAAGACAGCGCTGGGAGGTCACCTCTATTTTATTCAAAAACAGGAGCCATAGCGCTTGCATTAATTTCGCATAATGCAGACGTAACATTAGTTGACTCAGAAGGCAAAAATGTTGCCCATTTTTTACAAGATACATGTGTTCTTTCCACCATTATGAATACAATGAATGATATAGTAAAACATAAGTTTTTGAATAGTACAGATAAAGACGGACGTACACCAATATTTTATTGTTCAAATGAAAATAATCAAAATAAATTGGAATTTCTTCTAAGACATGGAGCATTAGTAAACAAAAAATCTGAGAAGTATAATCTACGTAAATCTTTAGGAAATGATTTTTGTATCAATACAATCGAAGATCAATGCTTCGGAGAACTTATCTACACGGAATCGTTTCCATGTCATGGTTCGACTGGAGAAAACATTCGGGTATTATCAAAGTCAAGTGTCCGTCAAATATATACTCAGAACTGGATAGCTTTTTCTACAAAGATACTCTTTATACCTCGTCATTCTTTTGCAGTCGTACCAGAAAGTACTTTAGAAGAGTCTGATGTGTGTGCTCAGATTTCGGATGATCGACACAGTGAACTGACGGTTTGCTCCTCAAATGCTGAAACAGAAGATAAGCAAGAACATCAAACAGAAAAATCAAAGGAGACAGGTATTCAAACCAAAGAAAGCTGCACAGTAGCAATGAATCTAATAGCATCTGGTAAATTCGATATCAAAGTTCTCAGAACTCTCAATTCGTATGAAGTGGACTGGATGGAACTTAATGACGTCGGTGATAATGTTCTTCACCACCTTCTTTTACCTCAAAATGAAGGAAACCCAACAAGTGTTGTATTGCTGATAGAGGAAATTATTTCTAAGGTAAGCAAAATGCACTTAAAGAACTTTATAAACAGCAAGGATGACAACAACAACACACCTCTACATCTAGCCTGCTTCTGTCGACTTACGAACAAGTTGGGAATGAAAGATAGAATAGGGGTGATTCAATTACTTTTACGTTTAGATGCCAATGTAAATGATGTCAATTCATGGAATCAGACACCTTTGAATTGTTTACTCAATTGTAGATGTAGGTCGTATGAATTGGCAGCGATACTTATAAAGGGAATGTCAAAAACAAGTATAAACATTCCATGCAAAGGTGGTTGGTCGCCATTACAAACATTATTATCCATTCAAGATTGTGAAGAATATTTTTTGGAAGATGCCAAACGAATAGTAGGGTTAATACTCGAAGCAGGGACAAATTTAGAAGAAACGCTATTAAATACAAAATGTTTAACGAAGTATATAAATCCTTTTTTGTTCGAATTTCTTCTTCAGAAATATACATGTCGCATTTCTGACGAAATAATAGAGAGGATTGTTACTATTTTAGAACAAGCTGAAACTTTACCAAACACATGGGCAATTTTGGCTATAATTTCAAAATTTAAGGGTCTAAACGTTGATAAATTTATCAGTAAATCAGCTACAATGCAAGATGATTACGACTTTATAAAGCATACGATATTGAAGCAATGCTCGCAAGATCTAAGCAACACACTAGTCTACAAAGTTGTACAATGGCTGTTTCAAAGTGATAAGGATCTTGATTATCTAGATGGAAATGGGAACACATACTTACTTAATGTAGTAAGATATTACTTGAATGATTTTAAAGGACTGTTAGAAATTATGATTTTTTTACTGCAGAAAGGTGCAAATCCAAATATAAGAAACAGAAAAAACGAAACTGTTGTTTACCATCTCATTTTATCAGATGGGTTTGACGAAAACGTCTTACAAGGACTAGAATTGCTTTCAAAATATGGAACCAATTTAGATTACGGTGAACCTTTCATATGGGCAGCGAAATCACACAGACTACGAACAAAAGTAATTAAATTTCTTCCTGAAAGTGTAAGTCCTGATGACGAGGACGAAATAGGTAACGCATTTCACCATTTAGTAAAGTCATACTCACACGGGATAGATGTAGGTTTAACCTCAATCGAAGAATTTTATTTCAAAGGCGTAGAAATTAATAGCAAGAATAAAAACGGCGAAACACCACTGCATCTGGCTGTTCGCTTGAATGTCCGTAAAGATATTATCTTACAGCTGCTAAGTCATAACGCTAATGTCAACAGAAAAAATAAGGAAGGGCAAACTCCGATGCATTACATATTGCTATATTTAGATGTCAATGAAATATTTCTATTTAACGAATTTTTACGATATGGTGGTGATTTGTCATTAAAAGATACCTTCGACCGAAATTATTTACACTATGCAGTTTTAGCAATGAGACCAGACACACTGAAAATTTTATCTATCATTCTACAGAGAAACATTTGCGACATCAATGCAAAAAATCGGTTTGGAAAAAGCATCTTGCACACAGTTTGCAAAATAAACTGCCGATATCACTTTATAAGTGATATTGCAACGAGCAGTTATCATATTGAAGTTTCGGATAACGAGTGGTGTGCCGGATTAAGAATCCATGCTTTACGACTTTTAATCAATTTTGATGCCAACATTGACATTACTAATTCAAAAAGACGTAGCGTAATGCACATTCTAGTAATTCAGTACGATTATTTTATGAAACAAAAGAAAAGGGATAGTCTAAAACACGTGCATAGTATAATAGGAATGGTCAAACTCCTTATATCTGGAAGGATAAATCTTCAAATCAAGGACATAAACGGAAAAACTGTAATTGACTATTTAAAAGATTATTGCCTCACAAATCTGAGAAACTTTATTGAAGGTCACATTTCATCCCATCAGCTGAAAGAGATTGTGATATCAGAAGTATTGTCTCGTTGACATCATAAGTATTGTCTCGACGACATCAGAAGTATTGTCTCGGTGACATCAGAAGTATTGTTTCGGTGACATTAGAAGAATGGTATCGGGGACATCAGAAGTATTGTCTTTTTGTTTAAATGATCTCGTGACAAGATGCATATTACTTTCATACAAATTGATATAAAACGCATTAAACGAACATACACACACACAGTATACATAGAATAAGAAAATTCTCTTCATTGTGATTATATCTATATAAAGACTTGACCGAAATGTGGTATATTAACTTGTATCTAATATACATTACCTGCATCGAGCACATGGAAATATGTATACAATTTATTTTGAATACTGGCAATTTGTGTTTTGCAAATGTTTTTTTCTTCTTGTGTATGTAGAACACAACTAGCAATTGGTCTTTTCTAGTTACAGTTCAATTACAAACATTTAAAAATCTAAGCCATGCCTTAAACGTTTTGAAACATTTAAAGTACAGCAATTTCTCCGGTTTCCTTGTAGTACATGATTAGGGTTCAAACATAATCAATTTTGCTGCTGTATCCATAACATCTCATTGGCTTTTAAGAATATCAAACCAGAATTATTTCATCAAAATGAAAACACGTGGGAAGACCAAATTACATTGTAATTCGAAATGAAAACGTAGTACCGATGGTTAATGTTTTTGTCTAAAGGAGTTTTAGCCTCATTTTAGTGCAATTACTTTACTTATTGGAAACTTACAGACAAACTGTATGATTTAAATCATGTCAATACTGTAGCAAAAACTACTTGGGAGATGGTCAATTCGAGGATTGAACCCAGTGTGAGTAAAACGTATATTTTATTTATGTACGTGCTTATGACAAATTAGTTTGGACAAACCCTCTTCATTAATCTACTCAAAGTCTTCAAAGCCAAAATAATATAATGTTTGAGATATCGAAACCAAAAGAACCAAATGAGAACATCCAGAAATAAAGGCAACAGTAGTATACCGCTGTTCGAAATTCATAAATCGATTGAGAAAAAAAAACAAATCCGGGTTACAAACTAAAACTGAGGGAAACACATCAAATATAAGAGGAGAACTACGAGACAGAAACACAACATTAAAATGTAACACACACAGAAACGAACTATAATATAACAATGGCCATTTTCCTGACTTGGTGCAGGACATTTTAAGAAAAAAAATGATGGGTTGAACCTGGTTTTGTGGCTAGCCAAACCTCCCGCTTTTATGGCAATGTTAAATATAACATTAAAATGACAACATTACATGACAGGACTACAATACAAATAAATGGGAGAACATATAGGACAGAGAAACATACGAATAATAGCTAACAAAAGGTACCAGGTTTAAAATTTAAGACGCGCGTTTCGTCTGCACAAGACTAACCAGTGACGCACAGATCAAAAAAGTTCGAAAGCCAAAACAAGTACAAAGTTGAAGAGCATTGAGGACCAAAAGTTCCAAAAAGCGTAATATGTCAGTATAAAGACTTGGCTACTTTGTATTATTTTGTACACGCGGGGACTAGTAGAGAGTTTGATTTAAACGTACACAGTAGGAACCGTTAGTATAACGGTTGTTTGACTAATAAACTATTTATTTTCATTCCATGGTGAACCCTTATCAACCATTTCATCGGATCACATAGACCACTAATCAATTAGGTTATTAGTTACCATCACCAATCAACTAGTCTAGTTTGCAATTTCCCTATATATTTAAAATAAAAACTAAATCATTTGTTTTGTTTTATATCAATGACAGATAACATACAGTTGTGATTCAAAATGGTTTGCCTGTACAAAGTGTCATAACTCAACCACGTCAGTATACAAATGTATTTTTTGTACTTCCTGAATGTAACAGTACCTTTCGAAACATTTCCCTTTGTCAGAGGGGTTTCAAAAGAATTTCTGCTTTAGTTAAGAATGTTCTGTCTATGGTTATTAGATAAATACTCTTAATTTGCCATATCTATCAAAATTCAGTATATTCATTAAAAAAATCCTCCTGCCCAAACCCCATAAAATCAAACAGTTTTTTCCCATTTAGTTCGGAAATGAGAGCATTGGGTAGTTTAGTTTTATCTTACCTCCTATACATTTCTAGGAATATCATTGGTTAAAAGCGACCGCGTGGAGACCGTGTATATTTAATATGAGGTTATTAAGCGTGGTTTATTTTAATAAACGATTAGTAGTGGTGTAACGTCCCTTTATAAAAACAACACGGCGTTGAGGAAAAATCTGAAACTTTTCGCGCGGACAACAGATTAAAAAATGGATGATGAACGATTGAAATAAATGCAGAAAACACATTTAAAAAAAGGTAACAAGTTGTTATTGTTGACATTTGATGTCGTGAAGACCAATGGAAGTAGATTCTTTATATTGAAGACTTGATCACTTTGATAGGCCACTAGTCTAAATGCCACATGTAAAAATAGTCGGTAAGATAAATTCGTTACACAGTGTGCTAGTGACCAAATACGATATATATGAGGTCTCACCCCATATGGATTTTACTGACCCCATATATTTCGTATTAGGTCACTATCACTCGAACCACATATGGAATTTACTGACCCCATATATATCGTACTAAGTCTCTAGCACACTTCGAGCTTCGCTCTCACCCCATATGGAATTTACTGACCCCATAAATATCATATTAGGTCACTAGCACATTGGTTAACTAATAATGGTTGTGTCTGTCAAAAGACAGGAACCACGACAGTCTTCGTCTAATTGATGGCAAGATTGAAGTCTTTTATAGTTTCTGTTCAATTTATTAAATACGTTTTATACTCTGAACGATATTTTTAGTGGTTTATTATTGCCTTGATCACTGTGTTTGAAGCTTTTGCAAAATTTGTTTTCCGAGCTATAAAATAAAACAAGAATCTCTTCGGCATAGTTCAAATTAGTTTGACGTTCTCCGATTATGAGGAAAACTAATATAATACTAAATCAAGCATCCATATAGTGGCCACTGGTTGCTTTTAATACATGAAACTTCTCCATGGTGATATGATACGCACATCATTTTTGTGCATTTAGTTTTGATTTTATTTAAGATCATTGAAGAATCCTAGAGTTTATAACATGATTTGCACTTTTCGTTATCTTTAAAACGTTGACTTATATCTCAAAAAACTCGAAATAAGATAAACAGAATACAAAATAAGTTCTTATGTACTTAACAATGTAATGTAAAGAAACTATTAACTGTGCTGCATATATTTAATGCTTCTGAATATCAGAAACACTATGAAGATTTGATGTTATCCTTCAAAAATCAAAATATGTTGAAGATGTTCAATGTTGGCAATGGCAGGAGGTTGTTTCCAGTCTTTTTCATTGAAGTTCATATTCTATAAATAAAATAAATGAGTAATAATCTTAATTTCAAGAGGATAAACCCATTAGTTAAAACAAATCTTCCTGAGAGTCCTCAAAATAATAATAAAATTTCATAAAGTACATACAGTATTATAATGATATATACACAATATACAATTTTATAAAGATACTAATGAAAAAACATATTAATTTGCCCTCTTCATGAAAAATTGTAACATGATACAAATATATTACTCATCTTTATTTCATTTGGTAAACTATTCCATATTTTAGAACCAGAATATATAAAAGTTTTCTTCAAAAAAATTGATTTTTGGCTTCGGAAGTTGTAATTATAGTTTTTTATTAGCTGAACGTAAATACTCATAGAAGTAATTGCCCTTGAAAGTCGATTTTACCTTCTTTTTTGTTATATACTAATTTGGTTGGTGTTTTGCAAAAACTATAGTAGACTCAGAAAAATAGTAAATACAAAAATGGACTAGCTGAACAAGATCTAAAAATAAGAAATCATGACTCCTTATAGAGGATATTGGTCTTGAAAAACGATTTGTCTGCATTTTGTTTTTTTTTCTTCATAAACTATAGTACATAGAGAGAAACTGTTTACATTAAAGCGACCCTTTGAGCCTCTAGTTTCTTATAGTTTTAAGTCATTATTATTATTCAAAAAGTTAATATATATTTCTGGTGCATAATCTTTAAAAGTGTTTAAAAATCCAACGCAACTGATATTTTACCAGCCAATGTGTTTTTACAAAAAATTTTGGGGTTCAGTGCACATTCACAACTTGGTTAAATTAGGTGTGAAATACGGACACTTCTGTGATGCTAAAGACCGTATGCTCGCCTCTTAATGCATTTGTGTACTATTGTAGTGTTTCTGGATTAGCTCAATATCATGTATGTAAATATGGTTTTGGAAGGTGTGGTAGGATTACATGAGGAACAGTCACACAACCTACCTTAAAGTCGACATCCGTTTTCAGTATTGACATAGCCGTTATTTTCTTTTTCTGTGAGATCTCCATTAACAATATTTGTCTCTATGTTCAATACTTTCAACTAAAATTAAAACGTAAGAATAATGAAACCTTTTCTTGACAAAAGTCGGTCAAAAATAAAAGTGCTAAATCAAAACTGGACTTTAAAGAGATGGGAACCTTCAAATACTCATATAACTAATCGGTTTTATACACAAGAAAAACACAGACTGAAAAGTGGACTAAACAATTTGTTAGTCAATAACCAAGACTAAAAAATGTTTAAATCAATCTGTGTAAATGAAATCATTATTCATATTTTATATAAAATTGTAAAAATGCATGATGTAAGACTACAATACTTCATGCTATTGTCTTAGTCTTATATACTATTTTATGTATAGATCAAATTAACTCACCAAAAAAACAGGATTAAAATTTTGTACGAGTTTAGTCTTCAAAAAACACAGCAGTGACGCTCCAATAAAAAAGGGCCAAAATAAAGTACGAAGATGAAGAGCATTAAGGGCCAAAATTCCAATAAGATTCCTCGTGGCAAATTAAAGTAAAAACACAGATGAAACATACATGAAACATATCGCTTTATCACTTTTTCAGTTCGGCTTCGTAATATTAATGATGTATATACTATATATAACGAATGCTCACTTTAATGATCTATACTGCTGGTGCACGTTTAGCCTCAGGGTGTATTAACAGCCTTGCCACTGACATGATAAATAACACCTATTCCTAGATTTGTCGGTAATAGATTATGAAATTATTAGAAAGTAAGGTTCAACCTCCCTCAGGCAAAGTTTACCTAAGATGGTTTAAGCTAATGTTTTGTGTCATGTTTTGTCATACTGACCGTATGGGTTTTCAAATGCTTTGATTTAAGAGTTCTTGAAAAAGGTAAATCCAGAACAGCGCCTTGGACACACAACATTTAAAGGGTTATTTTTATTAATTCGTAGTAATGAAATTGTTTAACATAACACACAAAACAATGTAATAACTTTAACTTACCTTAAGGTTATCCTCTGTATGTATATTTGACAGAGAAGCTATGGAGTGGTACAAAGGTGATAGTAATCTTTTATCCACAGGATTTTTTCTTGTGCCGCCTTGAAATATAGAAAGTATTTTTGACATATACTTTGATGCAAATCTAAAGATAATGTTTTTTTTTTCTTTTGCTTCTTTATTTTTTGTTTTCACTTATCATAGCTTCTTGATCAAACTATTTACAATGGTCTTTTCTGTGCTCAAACCTTTTATCAATAGAAACACTACTGAAATTGAGGAGGTCTGATATGGTCACTTTAAAAATCTATAGGAAAGTGATATAAATGATTCAAACAACCTCCGACAGATCTTCACAAAGTATTAGTCTGTAAAATGTGAATATTTATATTTTTAATCATGTCCGACATATTTGCTTTAGGCCTTTCAATTAATGAAAAACAGCAAAAAATGCTCATTTTTAAATGATGTCAATAATTATGATAATATCGCGATTTGAGTCGCAACTTGTTTAAAATCAATTTGTTTAAAACAGGTTAACATGGGTAAATGATTTTAGTAGGTGAATATCAAATGTTTGTCAACAACTATGTGTAAAATGCCCTTTTATGTCAGAAATGTCAATTTCCAAATATTCATGACATTGAGTGTTCCTGATGAAAGTAAAACAAGAAAAGCGCTTCGGACGCATGAAATTATAAAGTGTTCTCTCAATTTTTTACCATTTTGCGTTTTCAAGGGCTAAACAATGACTCTCATACTGTCATGTCATTTGGTAACGTAATCATCGTTACTCGGATTAAAAAATGTCTCCTGACATTTATGATAACGAGTTAACAGTCAGCGTCCAATTTTTCATTAGTTTAATATGCATAAAGATGACAACTTTAAAGTCATCAGTTTAACAGGCAATTACAGATAAAAGACAGAGAAATGGTTAAACATTTCTGGCCTTTGATGAATGCCAATTTTACGTTTTACCTGTGAAACAACTGACTAACAGTCCTACAATGACTGCTATTATTACGGCGAGTGGACTATAATAAAGATATGAAATGCTGTAAAATGTCTGCAGGTCGGACCTGCAATGTAAGAAAATTATCACATTATTATAGTAACCACATATGATAGAAACGTTATTCTATGTTATTTGCTTAGACTTTTCGATCTTCATATTACAAAAACAAACACAAAAAAATCCTCGAAGATAAATTCGATATATTTATGGTTAATAAAAGAAGGATATATACATGTATATATTACTGTATTTTGATTATGTTTGTATGAATACAATTTTATGATTTTTTTGCTTGTTTAAAGGAGGCCTGATATGTAAAAAGCTAAAAGAAATACGGGAATAGTTATCCACATTTTAACATTTACATTAATCAGATGGAGTAAGTCCAAACTGATACAAAAATAGATCGGAGCTGTTAATTCAAACGTACTCTTCTATATCATTTCCAGTGGATATTTCCGATGTTAAGTTAAATATCATCGTCGTCGTGCTTAGTACTGTGTCATTTAGTATTGTACTGTTACCCGATAATGGACATGACGTTGGTGGTGGGCCAGACATGTTAACAACACTTCCAATAGCTAACCAAGACGAAAATGATAAACTGGTTAGCACCGCTATAGTTGCACCCTGTAAGTACGTATAAAAATTAAAACTAATACTATAATAGAGGTTAGCAGGTATATTCTGCAAGATTGTACATATTGTATTATGCCATTGTCTCCACATTGTTAATTGAGTGTATAAGAATATAGAGGTGGTGTGGGGATCTTCCGCCATCTTGGATTGTAAAATAGCAGAACACAAAATTTTTCTATTTTATGTTGTAACAGGAAAAACGTACTTTTGATATTCTGATATTTTGTAAGAGCTATCTTCTCATATTTTATTTCAATTCTATCATTTGCTTTACCTTCTTTTCACATAATGATGCTTTTTCTCTGTATACAGTATTACACATTGAATACACACTTGTCTAATAAAAAGAACGCATGTTAACCTTTATGTATCTTTTGGTGTGTGTTTATTTGGTTTTGTGTCTTATTGACATGTATTCCACATCTCATTTTAATCATTTGTTATCTAGGATGTAAACTATGCATGCAATTTTAGTTGTATTATTTCATTGTTGTGGTTTTCAGTTGTTTTTTTATCCGTTGAGGGTAAGGCAATGTATTTCAGATTTATTTTGGTCATTAATAGCTATGCACGATGAAAAATATAAATGGAAGTAAAAATTTTCCACTTTTTTTAATGGAATTTACACTTTTATTTAATTTTTTCTTCTTCTAAGTTTTGATGAGCCAGTTTGATTCAACAATTGCATATGACTATTATTATTATAACTTTGTCAATAAAATATGAATTTTGCATATATACTTTACATTGCATATGTACAGAAAAATCACAGGTGAAAATGTAGATAAAATCCGCACGATAATAAAAGAAAAATGAAGGTTGGATTTTTCTTTGCATGAAAGTACAGAAATATCAAATATCAAACATCAACCAATGTTTGTCTGTATTAGAATTAAAAGTTATTTTTTTATATGCATACCACAAATTTATTAAAAAAAAACTGATAAATCTCTACAAAATCTCAATTCAAATCCGTATTCCTATGGGAACGAACTGTGCGCCTCTCATTGCCGACCTCTTCTTATTTTCATATGAGTCTGAGTTCCTTCAGACACTCGTTAAATACAAGAAGATCAAAGAAGCCAGACCATTTAATTTCACATTCAGATGTATTGATGATGTTCTTTCCATTAACAATCCAAACTTTTCTGATTGGGTTCCATTAATATATCCTCCAGAACTAGAAATTAAAGAAACAACAGACACGGCTTCCTCCGTCTAATTTTTAGACTAATACCACGAATTTGACATAAGCGGTCATCTCAGTACCAGAATCTACGACAACCGAGACGATTTTAATTTTGAAATTATCAATTTCCCCCACCTTAGTAGCAATATACCAAATTCACCTGCATATGGGACATACATTTCCCAACTCATTCGGTATTCTAGAGCTTGCAGCTGCTACTCAGACTTTATAAAACGTCACCAGTGTCTGAGCAGAAAGTTGATGAACCAGGGTTATGTCAAAGAACGTCTCGTCCTTTTTCTAAAAAAGTTCATCGAAAGATACCAAGACCTTGTTGATACTTCACAAATAATTCATCATGGTCTTGAAGTATAGATTCTATGTACTGACGTTGTTTATTATCTTACTTACGTGTTATAGTGTTCTTTTGGTTGTCTTTGTAAATTATTAACCTTTACTTTTTTGTCCATTTTTGGTAATATCATTTTGGCGTGGTCGGTACTTATACATCCCGCCATTGTGTTATTGTGCTATGGTAGTTTTTTTTATATTCCTGTCTTTCATTTTTGCTTATGTGCTTTGTCTATATGCCATTTTGTTTTTCTTTGTTGACATATTTGTTTGTTTTTTTAAAGTGATTAAGATTATAACACAATGGTGACTGCTGTACACCTATTTTTGCCCATTACGTCTGTTTGTTTTGTTCACACATTGTTGTCAATATAATGGAATTTTATGCGACTGTCATACAAGTGAGAGGTTTAGCTAGCTATAAAACCAGGTTTAATCCACCAATTTCTACATAATGCCTGTGCCAAGTCAGGAATATGACAGTTGTTTTCCATTCGTTTGATCATGTGTTTGAAATTTTGGTTTTGCCATTTGATAAGGGACTTTCCGTTTCGGATTTTTCTTGGAGTTCGGTATTTTTGTTATTTTACTTTTTTCAAAAGTACATTCATACATGTAGGCATATTACAAATAATTTATAAAGACATTTTTATTGAAGTGTTATATATAACTTTGTTATGATCACTTTATTCATAAGTGGTACATAAACTACTACTTATAGTATAATAAACATGTAACATGAAAGTTGTAAGTGCAAACCTGCAGAAATTCTGTATATATATATATATTAATTAAGAAACTACCCCTTTACAACGGGGGCACTTGCAAGCAGGGTACCTACAAATGCGTCTAAGAGCATATACAATGAATAATGTACAATGAAATAAAATACACATAGGACAATATCATAGTTTAAAATCGATTCTCTTTAAAACAAGTCAACTTTCATGTAAAACATAACAGCATTATATATTAAGATAACATCTCAACATTTAGAGATCCCATCAATTAAATTGCACACGCAAATCACAGTTAGCTTAATTTTCTAAAATCGAAGACCTGTAAGTGTACATTTCACTCAACATCTTTTTACTAAAAGTGTCAACATGCTTACAAACATTTGGATCAACCTTATAGAAATATTCACCTAGCAGTATGTTTATTTTTTCGTAGGACGGTAACTCTGTGAAGCAAAAGTCGGTGAAGTTAGTACTTAGGTACTCATTTATATCGGCAAAATACTTAATCTGTTACTTGAGATTTATTGATGGTTGTTAGACAAGCAAGTTGATAGCAAGACAAAGAAAATACTAACAACCAAGTATGGAACGCCTCAGCTGTCTTATGTGGAACTCTGATATTACTTTATGTTGTTTTATTATTACTTGGTGATATTTTGTCTTTACTTAATATGGTTTTGACATTACGTAATGATGTTTTATTGATATAACTCAATATGGAATAGCCATTACTTAATGATATTTCGATATTACACGATATGGTTTCGTATTGACTTGATATAGTTTTGTCATTACTCGATGTGGTTTCACCATTATTTAATGTGGTTGTGTCATTAGTCAATGTGGTTTTAACATAACTTGATGTGAATGTGACTTAACGTTATGTAATTGTTTCATTACATGATGTGGTTTTGTTATTTTGTAATGATGATTTGCCTATTCTTTATATGGTTTTAACATTACGTAATGATATTTCAAAATTTGACGATTTTACACTACATGATGTGTTTGTTTCATTATTTGATGTGGTCCTGTCATTTTTTGATGTGGTTATCCCATTACTTGATGAGGTAAAGTCACGTGACCAATTCGGAAAAAAACCTGTTCTATTTTTAGATAGATTTCCATGTTGTATGTGCCTTGGATGAGTGTGGCCATC